TGGGCAGCAATCAACACGACAGAATTGGGACAGGCAAACAACTACATCCTCACACCAGCCTGCCATCAGACGTGATAACCCGAGGTCACAATTCTGGAACGACTGCACACGGACAGGTCACGAGATCGCGATCGATAACTAAGTGGTGGCGCGAGCTAAGAAAAAGAGGGAACGATTAACTCTTGAAGCTCTACACTCGGCCAATTGATTAAACCTACTCATCGAGACAGACAAACATAAGTCTCACTCGCAAACCTGTGACGATTAGTGGACTTATAGACGCGTAAGCATCACACAGGTGCCCGGAAAGATGTTAATTCCAATATCTCATTGATTTCACTTACGTTTGACAACGAGTCCCAGTTTGGATTGAAACGTTGCAATAATCATTTTATAACTCTGTACGCCTAAATTCTCTACCGATGTAAATACACTACAAGTGATTCACTACTTTCATTTCAGACTCCTGAAAATTGACAGTCAATAGGTGACGCGTAACATGCACAAATGTCTGACTCGCCGCACCTCCGCTTTCCACACAATTGACCCAAATTACCGTGGCGAAAAAGGGGAGTTTCCCAATGAAAAAATGATCATGTTTTATTTAAATGCCCTCATAATTGAGCACTTCCGAGTAAATCATAGATACATGTTGAATCATATTTGCAAATAATTGAGTTTACTGACATCCTGGCAGCCTCAGCACTGCGTTGCATCCGCCATTATCTCGCAGACAAGGCGCCAGATGGATCCCCCGCAAGTACGACCCCGTTTTGCATGCTTTGCTTCACACAATGCTTGATCACACTCCAGACAGCTTCAATTGGGTTTAGTGCTGGAGCATAAGGCTCAAATCGCAGCAATATGGCTCCGGAATATACAGGCTCATCAAGCATCGCCTCCAAGCCGAAATGAAAAGGTGCGCTGTCGCATACAACCACCGTATTCCTGCGGACAAACTCAAGTAAATAATTGAGGACTGAACGCACAAGGTGGGAATGGTTCAACGGAATCGCGATCGTTTCGGCTGTTGATAATAAGCGATGCTTGACCTGCTTCGAACTCACCCTGGTGATCGTGTAGGTGGGCCTGACCGCTTTACTCATTCTGACGCGATGTTCCGACCAAATGAGCCGTGTTTGCCATACCCCCGTCCTCGTCAGTCCGCGACTAAGCTAACCGGGGTGGTGTTTTCGAATGCCTTCTCTTGCTATTCTCTGTCAACATTTAGGCAGCATGGGATTCGGAACCTATCCTCCTCTGCTGGCCCGGAAAGGACACGACGATAGGGTTCATTTATCGATCGGTCGGATGGTTCAGCCATAACAAGGGACATAGCGTTGGCTCAACTAAACCGAGCGAGAAACCACACCTTGTCTACAGCCGTGAGTCTTAGATAGGCCCAGTGAACTTCGATTGTGCAGCCGGAGTGCCACCAACACACGGATGGACCGGACGTGACAAAAGTAGCATTACAAAACGTACAAGCTGGTAATCAGAAAGGCTGGTGTTGGGGTGAGACATTCCAAGTACCACAGCTCGCAGAAAGGGTAAGAAAGAAAGTACTTGTTTAAAGTCACGGATGAGGGGGACGAGACGATGGAACTATTGCACTGAATCGAAACATCATGCGATGGAGGTAAGCAGTGGCTCAAGCGTTGATCGCGCATGATTCATTGGTATCAGCGGAGGGGGACAAACACACAATCACACATACAGAGCCGTACGCGTGCTAGCAAGATAAACAACCGATATGTATGCCATGAGAATTGAGGTGTGTGTAACCGAAGCCCGTCCCACAATCGGCCTTCGCACTTCAACGGGAGGTAGAGAAGTCGGTGATGCATGGTGGTCATCCAGACATCGCTGGGAGGCTTGTCAGCACCGGTGAGGTCGATGCGACAGCTTGAAATAATTCGAGGACATCTTGAAATAAACACCAGACATCTTGCAATAATGGCCAGCCAACTTGAAATGATTCCCGGACATCTTGAAATTATCCGAGGATATCCTGTTCTGATATAGGGACAACTTGACTTGCAAAAGGTATACACTCTTAGTCTTCCTCACTAATTGAATGGACCAGTTATGAGTATTCAGCAACACATTTTTCCACGGTGGCATTTATGAGTAAGAAAAACAATTTCAAAGAAGTATAAAATTTATTCCAATGATGAATAAAATTATGTGGGCTGAAGTCAATTCAGTGTAGTTTCCAAAAATTATGCCGCATCGGTCCATGAATCATAGGCTTTTCATAAGACTACGCGCTTCTTTCTTGGCCTGAAAATCGTCGCAGTTTGAGGAGTAGGAAAACTGGAACTTACCTCTTCTGTTTCCAAATCATCGGCGGTAAACTGAAGAACCTGTTCACACCACTTCTTTGCCTCGTCCTTTTGCTTAAGCCGACTGTACGTCTTAGCCAAATACAAGGCATTATTAGCTATGGTCTTCGGCAATTCTAAAAAGAGGGTTGAGAAACATTTCACAAAAACAATTGCCAATTACTCTTTTCTGACTCCAAAAGGTAGCTCAAAGCCTAGAAATTACCCGGTGCAAGATGATTTGAGGGAAAATGGAACTCACTTCCTCATAGGTAGACGTTGGAGGAGTACTGAAAAATGTCTCGGCTAACTTGCGTTTGATCCACGGCATATCGCTCACTTCGAAGCACCTAGAAAACACATTGTGGAAAAATTATCCACCCTACCAACGACCCAAGGCGTGTAAAGTTACACCGTCGTCTGGATTGGCTGCAATCGCTTTCTGTTGCCAATGAAACCATTCACAAATCGACTTAACCAACTCAACTCAACTCACCATCCAATGATCTTTCATTTTGAATGAATTCTCAATTCTTTTGTTTATTCCTTCAAGTTGAGAGACGTAGTTTAGAAATATTGCGCACCACTGCGAAAGCATTCCGTGAGGCGAACAAGGAATACTGCTTACTGAGTTGCATTTCGGATGATCTGGATTCAGTTTGAGGCCTAACTCGGCAGCTTCCAGACCTTCGTGCAAATATTTCGTGTACACATGCTTGTCACTTTTGCCTTGAGTCAGAGCTATGGACAGAGAGAGAAAAAAATGACAGAGAACAGACTTACCTAGATCTCGGCATACAAAGGCACGGCGCCACTGTAACTCAGGATCTTTTATTTTCTTATTTTCAATGGCATCACAAATCAACCGATGGGCTTCCTCGTATTTTTTATTATCGTGAAGAGATGTGAATTGTGATATAACTTCATCCATAGTTGAAACAGGATCTGGATACGAAACACAAATA